TTCAATTAAATGAACATTCGAAACAGAGAAGATACATAAATTGAAATGTCGGTATATGATACAGGCCTTGAAAATTCGAAAAATAAATACTTTTGAGGAAAATCAAATTGAAACTTTTCCGTTTCATATATTGTTTGAAGTTTTATTTTATTTTCATGTTGTAATTCCACCATACTTGTAACGGGCCGGGCCGGACTTTTCCCGAATTTCGGAGGCCCGGTTTTAGACCTGCAATTGTGATCGCGCCAAGTTTTTTTTCTGTAGATCAAAAATTAATTTGCAGTTTGGAATTGTTCTGTGGGAGGCCGTGCGGTTTTCTTTTTTAGTTCAATTTCTCTAGAACCAATTTCAGTTGAAAAATGTGTTCTCTAAAAGTTCGCACGTTTTCCTTCAATTTTCTCTTTCAAAATTTTCCCTTTTCTTCCCCTTTCCGGTGGCACCTCAGTTTTCCAAGTATCCATGGATACAAGTTCCCCTCTTCTCTCTTTTCAAAATTGCTCTCTCCCTCTTTTTCTCGTTTATTCAGGAAAAGCAATTTCATTTATTTTCCCATGATAACACATGTGACAAAAATCCAATTGAAGCCTTTTTCCAGATTTTTAGGGTTTCACATTTTTTTATTTTTGTCATAGGATATTCACTTTTCCTGGTTTTCTTCCTCTGTTGGTCACACCTACATCCTATATCATCTTGACCGCGGTCGACTACGGCCAAATTTTTAGAAAATCAAACCTCCAAATTAGATATGGCTGGCTGGACAAGCAGCTGATATTATTTCCATATATTTACTGAAAATATCACCTTCAGTTTTTGGTTTTTTTGTGAAAAATAACAACTAGAGTCATAGCAACGAATTGTCGGCTTTTTGAGCTTGTTAGAATAACATTTTCTAGTTGTGTATTACAAAACTCGGATTTGAGTTTTTTTTTTTCGAAAACTGACATGTGAGTGTTCAGTGAAACGAGCCTTGGCGTCACAGCTCAACTGATTCATAGAAAGCTGGGAGTTTGTAAAACGAATTGTGAAAATTTTGATATCTTATTTTTAACAGCTTTTCGAAACAGAATTTTTCAAAGTTCAAAAATTCTCCATTTTTCGAAATTTTCTTTGAAAAAATTTAGGTTTTTTTAGTTTCAAAGACGCATAACGGTTCTCATTTTCAGACTAAGTTGTTAAAATTAACATACATACATACATCTAGGTAATAAATTTATCTGCAAATATCTTTCATGGGAAAATAAATGAAATTGCTTTTTCCTGAAAGAGAGAGAGAGAGAGAGAGAGAGAGAGAGAGAGGGGGGGGGGCAATTTTGAAAAGAGAAAGGAGGGCCACTTGTCGTAAAATTTCCTTCCATTTGGTGTAATATTCAAGCTTCTGGATTTATTTTGAAAAAAGTTATGAGTATTTGAAAATCAGTGGCTTCTGGTCGATGCACCTGTAGGACCAGAAATTTTCGAAAACCCTAACCAATTTTTTTTGCAGTTTCAAAGAGTTTTCAACTGTATTTTCTGAAATCAGTCTCTAATTCTGGCTTAATCCAATTAAGTTCAATTCTAAATTCATTGTATCGCTTGTGTTAT